GCTGTTTTGTTCGTATTTCGTTGCTTATGTGCCTCTCTGCTGCTGCCGCCGCTCACCGGAAAGGCTCAGCCAAGCTTTTGAAAAACTTTACAATGCCTAATGGCTTAATTTGAGCTTAATTTACGCAGCTGCTGTGCTGAAAATCGAAGCGTAGAAAGAGATGTGAAAATGGATCTCGGCTGATTGTGCATGGGCATCAGAGCCGAAATAAACACCATCACCATTGCACCATCAATTCAAGCAAAATCTGTCTGAAACGTCAGTCAAAAGCTACAAACCCTTTCTATTATGAAAGGTAAACACAAAATCGAAATTCTCTTTAGTGGCTAGAAAATGCTATTTGGATGGTTTAAAAAAATATTAATCTATACGAGTCCTAAATATAAAAAAGAGACGAGTTAAGACTGGTGGGTGAAAATAACAAAAAAACCCCAAAATTAATTTGGATGATCAATGGAGATGGAATGAGGTTCATCAAAATAGCAGATTCTCTACAGTTATCCAAAGAACGCCATAAATCGTTTACAACTTTTAGAGAATACGCAAGTTCTGTGGAAAGAAAATGTCGGGCGCAATTAGAACCACTCGATATACCTTTCAGAAGTAAATCAAAATTATGGCAAAATTTTTTCGAATCGTGTTTGAACTTGCTTCCACCGTATACTCGGGACCGGACTGCCAACAACCTTGTGCTTTTCTCAAACCTCAAGAAAAGGCTCAATGAAAAGGAATGAAGACATCATCAAAACTGAGGCGCTTTTTGAAGACAAAACTAGTCGCACCAGAAAAGTAATATCGAAAAGTTCGAAAAGACACCAATGGTTCTCAAATGAACATTATAATGTAGCAAATATCGATGAAAGAAAAGTTCTGATTAAGTTAAAGTTTACCAAATATTTCATCATTCTGTATTCTTTTATAAAGTATTCACTTTACTAAAATGCTATCGGATCTTTGCTCGTATTTCAGTCAGTCAGTCAATCATATTTAATATAGTAATTATTCTTAGTATTCCGCTCGCAAATATCACCTTCTTTGTTATCCACATCTCTACAACTTTTTTTGTTAAAGAACTGAAATGTTTTAATTTTTACATTTTTCTAATGGAATTTGAATTCCAAACAGGTAATCTGCTGCGTACGGTCACAAATTGCATCAAAATATTTAAATTATTTATTAAATTCTTCACTGCAATTATAATGAACCGAAGCTGAAATTGATACACTCAAATTCATGCAAATACATTTTGACTTAGCTGCGTTGCTTTGGGGAAATTAATTTGGAGTTGACACGCAAGTCGAAATTGCGCTTTGCAATTTGAAACCTGTGAACCACTTACGAGAGGTCAGAAAACACATAAATTTCTTGAAATATAATACTTCACAAGCACAGTAATTGTCATGATGAATGACTGCTCTCGTTATTATAAATTCTGAAATGACTTATTTAGTTTGTGTTTTCTGTAATTCGTGATATTTGTGTTCACTTACTATACAATCAACACAATATGTACATACACACATGTAGTAATTCATGTGCGCGCGAAAAATATTTATGCGGTTTAACAAAAAATGATTTGTTTTGCAATAGTGCCAGTTAATTAATGTTTCCTAGTTTGTGGAAATTTAGAAATTTAGTGTAATTTTGATGTTTAACTTCTGCACAATGTGCAATACTTGTAGATCAGGTTGTTCAATAAGTTTTGTCGTTCGGTAGGAGAAGGCGTTGCTACTAGCCAAAATTTTTTTGGTTCGTCAATTAATTCTTTGTTTACAAGCAATTTAGTGTCGAAGTGTCACAGTATTTTTTTT